TGACTGATAACACAGCTAGTAAAGTAGCTGAACCAAAATTCCACCCTAGGTTCCTATGATCTCATGGTCCTTGTATTCATCCTCTTTGCATGGTAGTCAACTGGCTTACAGGGTACAAGATCTCCTCCATGTATTTAATAATGGTAATTATTATTGTAATAGCTATTACCGGTTGAGTTCCTGCTACCTGCCAGGCATTGTGCTAAGTGCTTTACATACATCATTTAAGTAAAATAATAATTTCCTCATTTCCAGCCTTAGAATGGCTACGTAACTTGCCTAAGGTCATCTACATATTTATATCTCTTTATACAGCGAGAGAGACTTATTTAAAATATTGCTTACTTGCAGATCATTTGAGTTGAAAACTTGGCACAGAGGAAGTGAGATTACTGAGCCTATTCCCTCAGGTCTCTCTTCACACCCAGTGTTCCTTCTGACTAATATGGTGGCATATTTTTTTCCATTTCTCCAAACACCATGTGAAGGAAGTCAAAATTGTGGCAAATGGCAGTGTAATAGCTAGGCAACAATTGCACATTGTCAGAGGATGCTTTTCCCATTCCAGAAATGTATGAGCTTCCAACAGCTGCATCACCAAAATAACCCAGAGTTTCGTATCACATTTGCAATGTTAAATATTTTGTAGACTTTGGGTTAGAACCTCTGTATTCAGACCTGGAAATAACATTGGGTTCCCTAAAGAACTAGGTTGGGGGAGATAGGACAGATGATATAAACACTGCCACAATATTACTATTAGTGGCTAAGGGTGACCCATTCTCTTTTGCCCCAAGGTGATGAAAAGTAATTTCCCTCTTCCTATAATGAATCTATCACAATAGATGAAGGATAAAGTTAACTTTGGTGGGCATAAATGATCCATTTTGATGGCCTGTATTGATTATGTAAATCAAATAATTTCCAAATTATCTTTTGTTTTGGGCCAGGCAACCATAGCTATGAATACTTCCTTTGATATGCAAGGCAATCCGTTTATTTACTGCAGTCGTCTGGTTCTCAATAGAGGGTGATTTCGACCCTTCCCTCCACTGGAAAACATGTAACAATGTTTGGAGACGTTTTGATTGTCACAACCAAGTGGGGGAGGGGGCAGCGGATGACACTACTGGCTTCCAGAGGGCAGAAGCAAGAGATGCTGCTCAATATCCTACAATTCAGAGGACAGTTATTCAAAACAAAGAATTATCTGGAAAATGTCAATGGTGAAAGGTTGAGAAACTTCAGCAAGTAAGGGCTGAGTGCCTATCGTGCCCTGGTACTGTTCTAGGTACTGTAAACAGCTTGCCAAGGTTCCTGCCTTCACAAAGCTTACACTATAGTAAGAAATACATTCAGCCCAATTTAGTAAAGCTCAACATTTGCTAAATCAGCAAATGAAAATCAAGTTACAAAACCAACCATTTTGAATCTCAAAGAGGGTTAATCTTGAGTCAAACTATACAAACCAAAGTACCACGCTATAATAGAAGAACTTGCATTATTCAGGCAAATTAAATCTTGTTCTCATAGGAAAATATACCAGGGTTTCATATTCCTATGTCTCTTGTGACAAAGAGAAAAAACTAATTTAAAACTTTATCTGCAGCAACTTAATACAAGAGGAAACACTACCCATATGTTTTGAAATCTAAAATAATGGAAAAGAGTGGAAGTCTGTCAAGATGTTGTATATCTAACTCTCTGCTCATGCTGCTAACCTGAAATGTCCAAATCTTTCCTTAAGTAAGTAAATATGAAAGCAAAGGCCAATAGCATGCCTGTGCATTTATTTGTTTGTGTGTTTGATTTTGCATAGGGCCACTGGTACACAGGACAGGAGATCATGTGGAAATATTTTCAAAAACTCTAATTTTAGAGTAAGTATAGTATTATCTCTCAATCCAAAGATGAAATAAAACACTTTTACTTTCTTATGCTCCTGTGTCTTAAATGGATGCCAAAAAAACATGCAAGAATATGTATACATGTTCGTTTGGTTTAAAACTTCATCACATCATAAGATTTCATAGGCTTCTTATGAAAATCTTAGTATTCAAATAGGATCATTCTTAATTAACAAATATAACTGATATAAAAATTCATATATGGAGCCGGGCG